AAAAAAATGAAGGCCCATAAGGCGGGAAAACAGCCCCAAAAGCACTGGCACTCATCTTTACAATAAACACTCTTTATCACCAAGGTAGCTCAACCATCTTATGGAATCCTTTGCTGTTATTACAGTGCCTTGTATGCCTTGTATTCTTTTTTTTTTTTTTTCAAGAGAGAGAGAGAATTTTTTAATATTTATTTTTTAGTTTTTGGCGGACACAACATCTTTGTTTGTATGTGGTACTGAGGATCGAACCCGGGCCGCACGCATGCCAGGCGAGCGCCCTACGGCTTTGAGCCACATCCCCAGCCCCAGTGCCTTGTATTCTTCTGTCACCCTTGTGACATTGAATAATATTATTCATATCACCACAGCTATGATATTTGAAAATAGATATCACATGTTTAGCTTTCTTATATTCATTAGAGCACTATAATCCCTCAACACACATTGGACGGACAGACGGATGGATGGATGGATGGATGGATGGATGAATGGATGGATAAACAACTGACTCATGGAGAACTGAAAATAAAATCCAAACTCCTTAAAATTTATAGTATGCTTCCTCGTCTCCAATTTCCATCATTCTCTACATGCTCCAATAATACTAAACTTCTCCGGAATCTCCAGACACACAGGTACTCTTCCATTTTCCCTGCCTCTACACAAATCCTTCCCTCTCCCCTTAGTCTCACAAATGCCAACACTTTCCTCCTTCTCTACAAGCTCAAGTGTCTTGTCTCTGTGCTTCCTCACTTTGCATCTGCCTCCCCACCCCCACCCTCACCCCATACCACAACCTCTCCACAGGCCAAGTGTGCTCTTCAGCTTTAGGCAGCTAAAAGAGTTAAAGAATACTTGGTTTGCTGTTTTTAGCATGTGGCCCCACACAACTACGGGAGAAAAAAAATTAAAGAATTTTGTTCCTCAGTTTAAGAAAAGAACTGAGTCTACAGAATACTTATATATCTATAGATTGTGGACATTATGAAGTTTATTGCTCTAATATAGAGAACTTAAGAATCCTTTTTAATATTTAATATTTGTTTTTTAGTTATAGTTGGACACAATACTTTTACTTTTATTTATTTTTATGTAGTGCTGAGGATCAAACCCAGGGCTTCACATGTGCTAAGCGAGCGCTCTACCACTGAGCCACAACCCCAGACTGAGAGCTTGAGAATCTTAAAGCAATAAAATGAATAGAAAGCAGCCTTTTACTCCAAACTGAACTAAAGATCAAATGAGAAGTCAAACAACTCGTGCTTGGGGCTGGGGATGTGGCTCAAGCGGCAGCGCACTCGCCTGGCGTGTGTGCGGCCCGGGTTCGATCCTCAGCACCACATACAAAAAAAAGATGTGTCTGCCGAGAACTAAAAAAAATAATTTAAAAAAAAAAAAAACCAACTCGTGCTTACTAGCTGAGCATACCTGGGAAGTTCCTCTATGTGGCTGGGCCAAGATATTCTCATTATAAAATGGGCACAATCATGCCCACCTTACAGAATTACACAGTATGCAGAATAAATAAGAGAACATATCTAAAATACCTTGGCTGTGCCAGGCCAACCTTCTTAAAACTCATTATAATTACATGACACTACAGAGAGGACTAGCTGATAAAACCAAAGAGTATGAAGGCCCAGTGTTTACATTATAAGCAACCCCTGAACACCAGCCCTTCTCTCTCTGTAAAACAGTGCCCCTATGTCTTCTCTAATTTTGTATTTGTCTAACATTTTGTTTTGGCTATTACTTAGCTATATTATAAATAAATAAAATAACTTAAGACCTCAGATGCCAATCCTACAATCATGCTCTGTGTGTGTGTGTGTGTGTGTGTTCCTGGGGACTGAATCCAGGGCCTTGTGCATGCTAGGAAAGCACTCTATCAACTGAGCCATATCCCCAGCCCCAATCATGCTTTTAATAATTACCCATAACATTTTTCTCTACAAGTTTGAAACTTTTTATAACATGGCCTCCAATATTCTTTAAAACCATATCGTGTGCTCAATAGAACTTCTGCTAAATTAAAAAGGATAAAATTGGTAAACACATCTTGTAAACATCCATAAATATGAAGTCTGGCTATCAAGCAAGTATCAAAAGCCCCATTATGGAATAAAAAAGACATGGAATACATACACAAAAGAGTTTTATTCAGCCAGAATGAGGAATAGAATTATGTCATTTGCAGGAAAATGGATTATCTTGAGAATATTATGTGGAACAAAATACACCAAACTCAGAAAGTCAAGGTTGTATGTTTTGTCTTATGTGGAAATAAGAGAGGAAAAAGGAAAAGAAAGGTGGGACATATCATGAAAATAGAAGGGAGATCAACAGAGTAGAGGAAATGGACCAGCAGGAAGGAGAAGAAGCAAAGAGGAAATACTGGGGAATGATATCGGTCAAATTATGTCATTATACTGTGTGCACAAATGAGTATGTAACAATCCCACTATTGTTTAAAATTATGATGTACCAATAAAAAAATATGGAAAAAAGACCAAAAAAAATTTTTTAAATGTTCATGGTGAGAGGGGGGAAAAAGAGTCCTATTATGACCCTAACACAATCCTCTTTCATATAGGTCAGTTCCCACAACTGAGTCCTACACGAGACTCCAAACTACAGTGCATCATGCAAGCTGTAATTTCATGCAGATCATGCAGATCATTTTACATATCACCTAGTTTTTACATAAAGAAAAACTTACAATATATTTTCTTTATTTGACATAAGGAAAAACATAGATTTGTAGGTTATAAAATATACATATTATAAAAAAATAAATATCAACTATGCACTTAATGACCAATTTATATCCCATTACTTTAAATTTCTTTATTTTTAATTATGGTAAATTATACATAACAAAAAATTTCCCATCTTAGCCATTTTTAAGTGTACTGTTTAAATATGTTCACATTTCTGTGCAGCAAATCTCTAGAACTTTGCATTTTAGAAAACTGAAACTCTACCATGAAACAACCCCAGTTGCCCCTTCACCCCCCCACCCCCCCCACCCCCCGCCAGAAACCACTATTCTACTTTCTGTTTCCATGATTTTGACTGCTGTAAATGTCACACAGCATTTGTCCTTTTGTGACTGGTTTGTTTCACTCAAAATAATATCTTCAAGGTTCATCAGGTGTCAGAATGGCCTTCCTTTTTAAGGGTTAAGAAGAGCCCATTATTTTTAAATAGAGCAAAAGTAAGAACAAAATTTTGAAGAAAGAATTAAGAATACTACGGGCTGGGGATGTGGCTCAGTGGTAGAGTGCTCGCCTAGCACATGCGAGGAGGCCCTGGGTTCAATCCTCAGAACCACAAAAAAATATATTAATTAAATAAAGGTATTTAAAAAAAGAATTAAGAATACTAAATATTTTAATTGAAATTTCAAAAACTAAGCTAAGCTCTTTCCCTGGGTTGCTTCTTTGGGGAATGGAAATTCCTAGAAACAGAATCACAATTCTAAGATACGATAAAAAAAAAATCATGTATTTCCATTTGTTTACTGAGGTTCCTCTTATCAATAACAAGTTTGCCTGGAGGTAGGTTATCTGTTAGGTTAAACCATATAAAATTGCTGCTATTAGGCACTTTTGACCTTAAAAAAGGATAATTTCATGTCCAAACTGATAATTTATCATTTTTCTTTTAAACTCATCTAAAAGATACTGCTTTGAATGTGAAGAAAGGTGTACTACCTCTTACATCTACTAACCAGGGCCCAGATTCAAGGTATTTTTACCATAATGTTGTGGTTATGGAATTATAGGGTTAATTTGGAGCACAGGCTTTTGGCTCCAGGCTTCCTGGCAAATTGGTAAACTCCTTCAAACTTTGTTTTCCTCATCTAGAAATTGAGTTTAATAAAATCTGTTTTCAGAATTATTAATTAATGATTGTGATAATACAAATTAAATGTGGAGCGCACCTAGAGTTGTAACTCAGTTGTAATGCACTTGCCTAGCATGTTTGAGACCCTGGATTCCATCCCCAACACCAAATAATGATTCCTAAAATTGAGGCACCTATTAAATACTGGGTACTCTTATCTTACTCGGATCTTAGGTTAATGAGTGATTACTCTTTCTAATACTGTAGCTTTCAGTGGTACAGGAGGAGGGTATTTCCCTCACAGGAAACTTTGGCAATGACTAGAGATATTTTTGTTTCACAACTCAGGGGAGAGGAAGCTGCTACTGGCATCTAGTAGGTAAAGGCCACACATACAACTCAATGTCCTACAGTTCATAGGACAGTGCCCACAAGAAAGAATTTTTGTCCAAACATCAATAGTGAGAAGCCCTGTACTAATAGAATTATTGTTTACAGCTCTTATTCATAAATATATATTTTTTAAATTTCCAAAGAAAAATGGGGAAACACTGAATGGACCTTCAAGTATCATATAGTAATGCACAGGAGAAAACCTGAGGCAGAGAGATGAAGGTATTTTAATGCCCTGCCCTGTTAGATCTCAGAGCTACACAAGTTGGCAGCAAATAAAGGAAATAGGTGAAGGCACTGAGGAGAGAGAAGGTTTAAGAAACAGAGGTCAACATGACTGTTTAAAGTCATTATTTCTTAAAACAAAGACAAAGGGTTAGTTAGTTCAATCACTTGCCAGGAACTGTTCTGAGACATAAAATTTGCCAAGTAAATAGCTACGTAGTCATTTCTTAGTTTTAAAATACTCAATGCATGTAATAAGTAAGCAAACACTTATTTAATCAGTTTTATACCCAAATGCTAAAAGGTTTTAGCTTTCAAACATTTTATTATAGAAAAAAGATAACAGTGATTAAAATGTTTTGATGATAGCTAACCCACTGATAAACATGTTAAATTAAAAATAAACCACTTATATTGTCTTGATGGTCATATTAATTTTTTTCCTATTTGTTAAATAAGTGACTTGGGATATACTTTCCCACCTGAATGATTTAAATCATTTTAATATCCCCCCAAAACACATTTATACTTACATTCACTTGAACTTGAATGGACCAGTCACCAAGGATTGGATGTGATGATACTTGAAAAGTTTTGGAAATGACTCCAAGCTCACTTTGTTGTGACAACCATTGTTGGATCAAATTGGATTTGGGGTCCTAAAACAAAAACCACACATGTTAACTATATAAAGGTTGCCCCTGTACACATGTATCCTATTAGGTTAGGAATGATGTTTGTAGTACCCTGAGACACATCCAGAACATTCCCCAAAATAAGACACTAAGATAGGTTTGGGGAAATGTCACGTCTACACTACTAAAGAAAACAAATCAAAATTTTTTCTTCTATTTCCCCCCGAGAACATCTTGATTCTGCTCCAACTTTTAATTCCTGGCACCATGTTTCCTTCTACAACATGGACATCACCAAACTTAAGGTGGTGCCAAAAGAAAAATCTGCTGTAGAAATAACAGGCCCCAATTATTAGAGTCTCACTATGTCAGGCACTCTGCCTTGTCTCAAATAATTCTAATTCTGCAGGACTGCATTGTCTTCACCTCGTAGTTGAGAAAACTAATGCCTGGCCCAATATTCTAGCACCAAACACATGATGGAATTGAGCATTCAAATCCGGGTCTCTTTCAATTCAATCACAGCATATCAGAGAAATGTTTAACTAAGGACATAGATGAAAATCACTTGAGTCTTCCTGTAATCTCCCAGACAGTATCTCTTCATGGAGTACTCACCCCAGGCACTCCAGCAGCTAACCCAGGTTCCTCTCACATTCCAAGCCCCATCAATTCTGTCTCATCCTCCTTCTCCCTCTCCCTCTCTCTTTCTCTATCTCTCTCTCTCCTTTTCATCCTCACAGTCCACCACCATATCCTGTTTTCTAACAACTGCGAATAATCTCATCCCTCCAGTCTGCCCCCTCTGATACAGCTTCCCCACTGCACAGTGTGATCCATCTGAAACATAGATCTGAGAATGAGGTACATGGTTGAAATGTTGAGCATAGTTCTTGGCATGTAGCAAGCAATGAGTAAACACTGGAGTGATCATTCTAATAGACCAGTGGATACTGATGACTTTAGTCTACAGAATGGACTCTCCGCACTTTTGCATGGCTTACAAGGCCCTTAGCAATCTGTCCCCATCTACATTTCTACACGCATCTTCTTCCAAACATACAAATTTGTTTGCAGTTCACCCAGGAAGTCCACACATCTAGACCTCTGCAGTTGCTACATGGAATGTTCTTCCTTCTTTGATCACTAGTGAAATGAGCTCCAGCTTCTTACCCTCCATACACACCTCCAACAGGCAAAAATGACTATGTGGGCACCACTGAACCTTCAATACCTCTGGAGTTTACTCCTCTTGAGTGTAACTTACTAGTATAGGCAGTAAAAAAAAAATGTTTATTGTATATATTTTATTTTACAAAAAATATTTTTGTTCCCAACTAGATTTGAATTCCTGACAGCAGGGGGCAAATGTTTTCTCTGATTCTTATTCTCTGTCCTTTGACTAAAATTAACGAGTTGGCTCTGTTATTAGAAACCAGAAGAAATCTCTCTGCCAGAGTAGGGAGATGAAAGTTAGGGTAAGCACAGTGCTGAGAACTGAGTAGGCAGTAGTTTAATCAATTGAGAATCAAGCAGTAAGCTAGAAACTAATTGTTAAAACCAGTGACCAAAGGCAGATCAAGAAGAAGCAGGTCACTGTACCCTTGGCCAACTCCTGAGACAAGTATTGTAACTGGCAGCTGGCTCTACTGGGCCTGCCACAGCATGAGGCATGGGAAAGCTGTGCACTTCAAAGGCCCAGGAAGAAATATAAATAGCTAATAAATATGTGCTGTCTAGTAATTAAGGGAATGAAAATGAAAACAATAAAGTACTATTTTTCTTTTTGTAGACTGACAAAGACTTTAAAAATGAACAATAATTCTCAACATTACTTAAAGGGTAGAGGGAGGGAACACCCATATTCTGCCAATGTCTTATTGTGGTGAAGGTGTCATGTCCCTCTAAACAGAGGACATCATGAACTGACATCTTGGTGACTTTGTACCTGGAAGATCTCGGTTGTGGGGTGCATGAGATAATCCCTCTGGTTTCCCAAGCCCATCTTGGACTTACATCTAACCCTCACCAGTAAGGAAGACATAGGCGATATAGAACCACCAGAAATGATTACCGAGCACAGCGGGATTTGAACAGGCCATGCATGGCACCATCACAGCAGAGTCCAGCATTTGTACATGGTCAGCTCCTGCTGTACCCACACAGGAGTCCACTTAGAGTTGAACAGTGGCCCCCGTATAGCCACAACAGCTGTGTGCCAGAAACACTGGAATGGTGACTCTTCGGGTCACCTCTGGATGGCTTTGGATCTCCATCAGATGCCTCAGCACAGCACTGTACCTGCTGCCTGCACCAGACTGTCTCAAGCAGTAAATTCCGTGACTGGAGAATGTGTCTACAAGGACTGCTTCTGGAATGCAGGATTATATGCAAGGTTTGTGTCTGTTTGGCATATAAAATCAGAGAAGTCAAATCACTCAGGATTTGATGGCCCCCTCACCTGACCAGAGCTATGGTTTTGAAGTTGCGATAGCTTCTGCAGAGTGTCAGGGCACAGTCAGAGGATATACCCCTAGCCAAATATACCTGTTCCCACACAAGATTGTTCACCTATACCAGGAGTAACAAAAAAGTTCAGGGTAGAAGCCAGCCTTCACAGTGGCAGAGACCCTTATGTCTATAACATTAGGCCAAACTGACAGAGGATGTTCAAGTTAAGGCATGTTACTCATTGCCAAAAAGCCTCTGAAGCCCCTTTCTTTCCTGAGGCCAATGACTGGGGCAGGCAAAATGAATAACACCAGCAATCCCCACAAAAAAACACTGAAGGTCCCTGAATAGGCAGTGATGGTCCCTATCTTAGTTAGGTCTTACAGCCATTCTTGGCTGGGTAAAATAATTCCCAAAAAGTCAGCTTGCTGACTTGCAGGAGTGCTTCTGCACATCAGCCTACAGGTGGTATTGCTAGGAGTATAATAACCGACCTTGTCAGGGGCTCAGACTCACAAATTGCAACTTTTTTCTTGGAATTTCTGCCCAGAAACCAATTATTCTACACTAAAAAAAAAAGAAAAAACACAGAAAATATCACAAGGTCCTGTCCCAAGTGACTGCTTTCAGCAGAAGGAATACAACAGTGTGGGCATTCATATCAATGCCCAACCTGGCCTCTACAAGTTACAAGAGGCAGATAGCTAGATCTGACTCCTTAGCCAACCTCACTCTCCAGGTACAGAGAGGATATAGCCACCCTCATGAACTGACCCCAAACACTGCATTTCAGCCTAAATTCCTGTCCCCTGGGCAAAAGGGTCACACACTAGCCAGGCCAGTAGGATCCCTTAGAACTAGAGTATGTTAGTCAGCTTTTTGTCACTGTGACCAAAAATACCTAACAAGAACAATTTAGAGGAAGAAAAGTTTATCTGGGCTCATAGTTTCAGAGGTTCAGTCCATGGTGAGCCAACCCCATATCTCTGTGCCTGACATGAGGCAGAGCATCATGGCAGAAGGACATCCAAAGAAAAGCTGCTCAGCTCATGACAGCCAGAAAGCAGAGAGAGAAAGTGGGGTGCCAGGGACAAGATGTAATCCCTAAGGGCACTTCCCCAGTGACCTACTTCCTCCCACCATGCTACGGTTACCTCCTTGTAGTCCATTTAAATTACTAATCCATCAAATCCACGGATGAAGTCATAATTTAACCATTGCACCTTTGATCATTGCCACATTACCTAATGCACAAGCTTTTGAGGGGGACACATCCTAGAGCTAACACAGAGCTAACAGAGGAAGGTCTCGCTAGGAAAGCCAAATGTGAGGGGCCTGGTCCAAAATTGAACAGAAGAGTCCAAAGAATCTACAGCTCTAAAGTTTCAAAGACAGAGTCTAGAGTGGAGAGGCAGAACCACAAAAAATGCAGAGGCCAGTTCTGGGGGTGTAGTTCAAAGGCACGGTGATAGCTGAGCACATGTGAGGCCCCAAGTTCATTCCCCAGTACCACAAAATATAAAACTAAAATGGAAAGGAAGGAAGGACAAAAGGAAAAAGAAGACAGCTGTCCAGAATCAGCAGTGGTAGTTCTGATTTAAAGCCTAGAACAAGCTATTTCTCTGGTTTCTCTGGTGCTGTCTTTTTTTTTTTTTTTTTTTTCTCTGCCTGAGGTAAATGGAAGGAAACAGCTGAAAACAGCCAGAGAGCTGTTTAGCACTCACCTCTGAACCATCATTTTACATCAATAGCAAGTCCTCAGGGTACGTGAATAATGACAGATGGTATGAACGGAGTCAGTTCAACCCTGCTCAGAGCCCCATGAACTTAGAAACGCTATTCACAGTATCAACATGCTTTATGGACATCTCCATATCTAGCTAGCAAAGGCAGAAATTCACAGAACTGAAGACTCAAAAGATTTCATATTTCAATTCAAGAAATATGCATTGGGCACCATGACAACCGACATGATTTTTGCTATAGACATATCTTGGCTTGAATTTTATTTATGTATTTGCCCTTTTGGTTGGTGGTGGTGGTGGTGGTTTTAATTTATAAAAAGAAAAAACTAAAAATACCAAACTAAAAAGCCTGGGTTTGTGGCTGGGGTTGTGGCTCAGCTGTAGAGCACTCACCTAGCACATGCGAGGCCCTGAGTTCAATCTTCAGCACCACATAAAAATAAATAAATAAATAAATAAAGGTATTTTGTTCAACTACAACTAAAAAATAAATGTTTAAAAAATAAAAAGCCAGGCTGGGGATGTGGCTCAAGCGGTAGCGCGCTCGCCTGGCATGCGTGCAGCCCGGGTTCGATCCTCAGCACCACATACAAACAAAGATGTTGTGTCTGCCGAAAACTAAAAAATAAATATTAAAATTCTCTCTCTCTCTCTCTCTCTCTCTCTCTCAAAAATAAATAAATAAAAATTAAAAAAAATAAAAAGCCTGGGTTTATCTTCCACCCTGTTATTTATTAAAACATTTAGAGTGACCGATGTCACAGGACTGAGGGAATCCCAAAACCCATGATTTTAAAATCAGCAGCTTCCCAGGCCAACTGGAATAAGCTTTTCACATGATGGTCAAACGTATAGCATGTTCCTCCACTTAAATGTAGAAAACCAAGCCCAGCTGGACCTCAGTTTCACTCTCAAAGGGGAAATACCCAATCTGCAGCCATGCTACCCCCTGATATCAGAGTGCTCAAGCAGCAGATACCAAATAAATTCTCTCAAAAAGGGTTTTGGGCTGGGGATATAGCACAGTTGGTAGGGTGCTTGCCTTGCATCTTCAGCACCATAAAAATTTTTAAAAAAAAGGTTCTTATTATAATAGTAACAGCTAATCACTGGTGATCATGTACTAGGCCCCAGCCACGGTTCTAAATGGTTCACTCAAATTATCTCATTTAATCCTCCCAAAAGCATCGTGAAGTATTATTACTACACATTTTATAGACAGGGAAACTGAGGCTCAGAGAAGTTAATTTTCTCAAGGTCACACACTAACATCTATTCTTTTACAGTTGATGGTGAGCTTTTAAGATGTTAAGTCAGATCGTGTCATGCCTCTCCTTGAATTCTCCAGTGAATTCTCATTTCACTCAGTGTAAAATATAAAGTCCATATGATGGCCAAAAACACCCCACATGGGCCCAGCTCCCAACCCACTAATGGTGTCTGATCTCATCTCCTAATACTCGTCCCCTCACTCCCTGGGCCCCAGTGCATCACCAGTTCTTTCAATGTGCCAAATAAGCTCCCACCTCAGGGCCTTTGCACATATTGTTCCCTCACTTTGTATGTGCTCATTCTTTTATTTCCTTTGTATAGGCTCATGTTTTTTATTTTCCTTTCCTTTTATTTTCTCTGCTCAAATTGTCTCCACTGACGACTTTATGGAAAATAGCAAACACAAACTAATTTGCTCTCCTCTCTCCCAAACACACACACACATATATATGTATTTATATTACATATAAATAGCATATAAGTGTATGTATAAATTATATATACATGTACACATACATATATGTATGTATATAATACATATATGTAAATACCATATATATGTATATATTTATATATGCTATTCACTATCTGTTTCTTCACTACCCATAAACTTGATACAATACCAAGAATAAACTTGACTTGGGGCTGGAGTTGTGGCTCAATGGTAGAGCACTTGCCTTGAAAGTGTGAGGCACTGGGTTCAATCCTAGCACCTCATAAAAACAAATAAAGGCATTGAGTCCATACAGAACTAAAAAAAAAAAAAATACTTAAAAAAGAATAAACTTGACCTGATGTGAGCAGGGACTTAATCTGTTCTCTTCACTGCCCTGTGTCAGTACCTAGAATACAGAAGTCCATTAAATGTATGACAAATGAAAAAAAAAAAAATCAATGAAGAAGCCAGGACTCGAACCGAAACAGGCTGACCTTGAAGCCTGAGCTCTGAACCCAGGCCTCTACCACCTCCCTTCCTAGACAGAGGATTCCCATCTTGAGAACAAAGCTTATCTTAGGTGAAATTCTAAGATATTACAGTGTCAGTCACATGAGCAGAACTGGCTGGGGATGTAGCTCTCTGGTAGAGGTTTGCTTAGCATGCACAAGGCCCTGGGTTCCATCCGCAGCACCACAAAACAGTCATGTACCAAATCCTAAATCATTGCTGAACATGAACAGAACTTCAAGAGAGCTTTGGTAAGGCGGTTTGAACTCCTTGCTTTACTTGTGTTTGCCACTTACCTTAATTAGAATGTTCAAAGAGGTTTTATAAGGCTTGAAATCCGAGTAGAGTGTAACAACCCGAAACTTCACTTCTTGCTTTGGCTTATAGAGCATCTTGTCTGTTTGAATAAAAACAGATATTCTCTTGGTCTCAAATGATAAGTGTGTACTATCAGAGAATAAAATCTCATTCTGGGCATGTCCAGTTACACGTAGCTCATAAATCTCCTCCGCACTGTTCAGAGGTAGCTGTGGGGGAGAAGAGATAAGGTATATCAAGGTCTCATTTTTTACCTCAAAAATGTCTTCATTATAATCTAGAATAGAAAATTTAAATACACAGTATTATCAGAAGTAACTGCAATGTTGAACAATTTGCCCTTCCTGGGCACCAAACAATTTGTTTTCCTTTTTTAACATCTGATAGTTTGCTCTCTGATTATATCAAAGGGTTTCAGGAAGAGAGGACACACACCCCACAGCTCGCTCCCTCTCAGCAAGAGACAATTTATTGCTTCCAACTCCACTTGCAAATTATTCTCCCCGACAGTTATTAGGGGTCAGAATCCCTCAACATCCCCCACATCCTTTCTGTGCTTGCCCTATTCGAGACAGTCCACCCATGAAAGGTACATTTGCATTGTCTTCCTGCATCTTGTTCATCATGTGTCAGTCTCAGTAAGGATGATGGTGCTGCTAATTGCATTACTATTATTAATAACAGAAACCCTACCTTCTACCATTAACAGATGAGAAACCATACTAAACAATTAACTATATCATTCTACTTCAATCCTTTAGTAGATGCTTAGACTAAAACCATTCCACAAGCAAGGAAGCTAGGGCTTAGAGGAGCTAAAGAGGTTTTTTCAGGTCGCTAGCCCAGACACAAACCCAACATGAGCTATACTACTCTAAAAAGAACCTTAATTGCTGAGGGTGATGGTACACACCTGTAATTCCAGCCACTCAGGAAGCTAATACAAGAGGATCACAAGTTCAAAGACAGCTTAGGCAACCTAGTGAGATCCCATCTCAAAAAATAAAGAGGGAGAGGATGTAGCTCAGTGGTAGAGCACCTCTTGGTTCAAATATCCAGTACCAAAAAAAGAAGGAAAAGAAAACTTCATGTAGTAATTTTAAAATACGTTCAAAAGTCTCTAACCTTTCTCCCTTCAAAAGGTGGAGCCTAGGGCTCAGGATGTAGCTTAGTGATATAGAGCCTATCTAGCATGAGAAGAGCCCTGGATTCAATCCACAATACAGGCAAAAAAAAAATGTGAGACTTATTCTCCAGAGTTCACTATGAAATTCTTTAAGGTTTTTTGTACATTTGAAAATTTCATAATAAAATGTTACCAAAAAAAAAAAACAAATAGGGGCTGGGATTGTGGCTCAGCGGTAGAGCGCTCGCCTAGCACGGGCGGGACCCGGGTTCAATTCTCAGCACCACATAAAAATAAAGGCATTGTGTTGTGTCCATCTACAAAAAAAATTCTCTCTCTCTCTCTCTCTCAAAAAAAATAATAATAATGCTGCTTTCAAGTTACCTCTGGTACTAATTTTTGCTTTTTTTCAATAAATAAATATTTATTGAGCATCTCCTATGTACCAGGTTTCCTAAGCATTGGAATACAACTTGAACCAAAGGCCCGTGCCTTCGAGGAATTGAGAGTCTAGTCTTGCATTTTTATATTCTATTTTCTGAAGTGATATTTCAGTCCTCTGATTATTTTAATCAGATTCCTTAATACTATAAGCAAGAAAATATACATGGCCAGAACCAGCATATAATATGCTTTTAACTGGCACAGATTTATAAATATTTCTTATGCAAAAATGAGATACTTGAGCCAGGCATGCCATGCAAACCTGTAAGCCCAGTGGCACAGGAGGCTGATGGAGGAGGATTGCAAGTTCAATTTCAGTTGCAAGCCTCAGCAACTTCGCAAGACCCTTAGCAACTCAGAGAGACCCTTTCTCAAAATAAAATAAAAGACTAGGGATGCAACTCAGTAGTAAATCACCTCTGTGTTCAGTCCCCAGTACAAAAAAACAAAAGATATTTGATGGCATTGCTCTTTATAATTTGGATATAGTTTGATTATTTTACTGGTACAGAGCCCCAGAACAGATGGTAGATTAAATACTAATGTTAAATTAATGATGCAGAAGTACAGAGTTTTCCCATGGATATTTGGGACTCCTGTTCCTTGACCTGAGGGAACAGAGCTGGAGGAAGGTAGAGAGAGGTTGCCAAAGTTGGAAACTGTATGGCAGCCAGACAAAGTGTAGGAGTTGACAGTATCAAGAGGCTCTTATTGACAAAATATCAGCCTCTGGGTTGAGTTGTTGATTCTCAATTATGCTAAGCCTATTCTGTGCATCCATAAATGCAATCTGTCTGAGTCAATGATAACTTTCTGCCCAGGGTACATAAGAAAAGCAAGCTCAAAAGATCCTTGGTGGACAGTAAATAAGCACAATTCATTCTAATCTGAGCTCTTTCACCTCCACTGACAGATTCATTGCACTAAGGAAATCTGAAATGACACAATAATGTTTATCTTTATTTACACATGCCAGTTACTAAAGAATTAGAAGATAAATTTTTTAGGTGAAATTGATAAATTTAAGGTTGGGTGTGGTGGTACACTCCTATAGTCCCAGGGGCTTAGGAGGCTGAGGCAGGAGGATCGAGAATTCAAAGCCAGCTTCAGCAACTGTAAGGCACTAAGCAACTCCATGAGATGCTGTCTCTAAATAAAATATAAAATAGGGCTGGGGATGTGACTCAGTGGTTGAGTGCCCCTGAGTTCAATCCCAAGCACCCCCCCCCAAAAAAAAACTGATAAATTTAAGATGATAGTTTTTAATCACTTTATTTAAAGTAAATTTTTAAAACACTTCTAATAAAACCACTCCCTCATTTTAAGTTGGATTCATTTAGCATGAGAATAAGAGAAATCTTTCTGCCATATTTTAAACACAAAATAATCTTTATATTAAGCATCAATTATGGTTTTTACTTTCTTCTTACTGAGGGCTATTTGTATCAAAAAAGTAACAATGACTAAATCAGATAAGACACATTTATTTTAGTTCACTCTTAAAATACACATGTTTTGCAGTAAAAAATCATAAAGACCTTTAAAAAAATAATTTAAAATATTACATTTACAAACATCAGACTGCAAGTACATTTTAAAAGTTGGGTCCCCTTTAACTGAACACCCATGAAAATATAGACTCTTCTATTTTTGCCAGTATTATCAAAGTTGCCCAGACATTTTATGACTAAGTCTTTAAAAATCTGTTCTACTAAAAAGGGAAATACTCCTAAATATAATCTCTAGTAAAGCTTTTAATAAATAGTTGCTATAGCTACATAGCGTGGAAATGGCATATATAATATTTAAAACGTAGGGTTTGTAGTTAGTATTTCATAAACTTAAGATTTAAAAAATAACTCTAGTAGTCAAATTTCTAGCTAGGGACATTCCAGACAAGCACGGTTTAAACCACGAGGTACTACTTGCCCTGCTTCCTCCTGTTTCCTGCTTTTCTACACTTCCAGCCTGTGAAAATGCAAACTCTTGAGGAAACCAAATAGTTTACTGGACATCAAACTATGATTCCTGAACTTAAATCCCTCTCTCCTTCTGCTACAGAGCAATTATGATACACAGGATTTATTTTAATTTCACCACCAGCCTCCCATTTCAGCAGTTGTGCACACAGAATCTACTGTTTTAGGTTCTATTAATGCCAGCTAATGATTAATTGTCACAAAGATTATGGTGGGGTGGGGCATCCCACTTCTGCCTGTTCATGCCTTTTCCTCACCCTCCCTCTACTTTCTATTGTTAGCAGAAGTGTGTGTGTGTGTGTGTGTGTGTGTGTGTGTGTGTTATGGTGCTGTTAATTGAACCCAGGAGTTCTCGCACAAGCTAGTTAAGCATTTCCTTTGTTCATTGGTTTTGTTGTTGTTCTTTGTTTGCTTGTTTATTTCTCTTTTTCTTCATGACAGCATCTTGTTAAATTGCCCAGGCTGGCCTGGAACTTGAAATCCTCCTGCCTCAGCCTCCTGAGTAGTTAGGATTACAGGTACATGCCACAGTGCCCAGCAAGCAACTGCATATTTCTCAGTAAGAAAAGTACAAACACAAATATGTTAGAAACTTAGTTGATAAGACATATTAAGTAATTTTTATAAATACTGTTTGGGACACAGTATTCTCTAGGAATCCCCCAAAATGAATGTGGTTTCCGAATGTGCTAAACAAATAGCCATCAAGAAGTAATAAGTGAATCAGCTAATGAGATAATACTGATCCTACACAAGTATATAATATGTTAGGGCCAAAGTCATTAGTCATCTAGTCTCAGAAAAACATCAAATTGTGACTCTTATTGAATGATGAGGTCTAGTCCACTGTACATTAACCGCCTGAAAATCCGGAACAAAGCACAGTTATTAAAACACAGACTTCAAAATCAAAGCCATGGGAAACAGGATGAGTTCATAAACAACATATAATAATAAGGTCTGATGGCTCTCTCAACAAAATAATAACCCTTTCCATTTCTGTAGTAAATTTTACAATGCTTTCACATCTTATTTCACTCCAAGGCATCCCTATGAGCTACAGACTATCTTTATCCCTTTTCTAGGGCCAGGAATAGAGTGAGGTGAGTCAGGCACTTACCTCAGAGGCAAAATTTGAGGGGCACCAAATAACTCAATAACCAAGAAAATAATATGTAATGTAATATTTTAAAATATCAAAATTAATATAAAGAAAATATTATGACCCCCAAAGTTAAAAGTTTAACAAAGACAGGACCAGTATTACTGACTTCTTTTGCCTCAGATTCCAAAATGGCTCCCATGGCACTGCCCTCTTCAAAGACCAAAAAAAAACTAAAGAGAAGAGTATTTATTACACATTCCAGACTGTAAGGCTCATTAAGGCATCAGGGAACAAAATACAGTGAACTTCTCTATTTCACAAAAGGAAAATCCCTGCTAAGAGTTTGAAGAACCTAACAACCAATAGCATTAAAATAACAGTATTCTTAAACAATCAAAAGGCTAATCTTGACTCACGACAAACTTCCAAGAAATGTATATAAACACAAAAGCCAATTAAATGTTAATTTATTCAGCTCACTGAGGCAATGTGTTTCTGAAACCAAAAGTTGCAAATGAATACTTACTGCTGGAAGAGTAAGTGTCCTGAAAGAACCTAAAAGAAGAACAGGAAAGAAAGGAGATTTGTCATAATCTGAATGTACTATTATAACACAAAATTCATAAAACTCTTAGATGTAGATGGGATTATAAATGCATTTGGTCAAACCAAAACAATTTTATTAATGCCCAGAATATACTAGAAATTATCATATATCCTTGTGCCAAAGATTTAAGGATCTCAATTAAAAAGACATCAGTGAATGAGCCCCCAAAACAGAAGATCTGATTCTCTTGCCATTATTATTTGTTCTCATTGCTGCTAGGCTCTCATCGCTGTCCTAAGTTAATATGCTTCTGAGGGACACTTCATAGAGCATATAGGGGAACCTGCGGTTTGGGAGTTCAAGAAGAGGGTATTTTGCTGTTGAGGGACTTTTTGCTTTGTTTCTTGCTTGTTATATGTGGTGCAGGGAATTAAACACAGTCTAATGCATGCTAAACACGCACTCTACCACTGATCTACACTCCCAGCAATGTGGGTTTTTTTAATATTTTTTTAGTTGTAGGTGGACACAATACCTTTTTTTTTTTTTTAATGTGGTGCTGAGGATCAAACCCAGTGCCTCAGACATGCCAGATGAGTGCTCTACCGCTACAGCCCTAGCCCCAGCAATGTTTATTTTTTATGTTCTCATACTCTCGTGATAAAGAAAAGGAAGACATTAGTCATGTCAAGGAGGAGCTGAAACTCACCACTGACTCACGAGTATTAGGTGGTACAGATGTTTTTGCATAGAGTTTCTAAACATAGGACTGCTACTTTAATTCATACCAATTTCTCATCATATCCATTTATTTTGAGGTAAAAATGGTTTCAAGTTAGAAATTAAAAAGTATTTATCTGAGGTTCCCAATCAGAGGTGATAATAGGACCTCCTTTCCTTGATTAATTTAAAAACTATATCTTAAAGATACCAAAATTAACAAGACAGATATGATCCCTCTCCTCCTGGAAGCCACATGGGTTTATCATGTGGGATCAGAGAGGCACTAAAATGTGGCACAGTACAGAGCAGAAGTTTAAAAATGGCTTCTGAAGTCGGATCTCACAGGTTCTATCATGAATCTGCCATAAGCCAGCCCTATCTTTGAACAAATTACCTGGTTCTCCAGCCCAGTGTTTTCATCCATAAAATGAGGATGTTGGTAATCACAACCTCACAAGGTGGTAGTGAGGTGGTAATTGATGCCTGCAAAGTGCACAGAACAGATCCTGATGCATAGGCAACAGCTGATGTATGTTAGAAAGCTTGAAGAGTTTTCCACTGGGAATGTCAGCATGCCTCTACAACAATGTTCTTCAAACTTTTATAATGAAGCACTCCATAAATAAAAATATTTAATACATATTGCCCATGTCAAACTACATGCATAAAGTTATGTACATGTGTTTTCTCAAACTATCAAATATTAGAAAACCTTAATTTCCTAGTTTTTCTCAACTTTAAAAATGAAAGTACATTTTCTACCTTAACTCTTATAAATAATCTTGTACAGATGGTCGAACACCACCACAAAAGACCACAGCCTCCGTGGAACTCAAGGAAACACAAACACATTTTCAGGAGCAGACAAGAAAGTCATCACCACCATTTGTCACCCAGCATAAATCAGTTTATCTAACTGTCACCATTGACAGTTGGTGGAGAACGCTGGACAAAACATGTTTTAGGAAAGTGAAAAATATAAATATATTCCACAATGAACAGATAGAGAGGGGGTGAGTGGGGAGCATTTAGAAGGAATGGAGGGAGAACACCTAGAGAAAAAGATGCCAGCATCTACCATTCTAAGATAGGAGAAATCAGCAAGGTGGGGAAGGACAGGAAGCATGCTCCAGGCAGAGGAGCAGCAAATCCAGAGCAGCAGAGGTCTACAGAAGCAAAGACCTGGTTGGGTCAAGCCACTGGCCAGGAGAGGGCAGCAGAGGTGAGGCTGGCTCTCTGCACAGGGTGAGCCCTTATACCAGTATCCCAAGTGACCCTGTTATCCACATCCTGATTTAGCATTTGTCCTGGATTTTTTGTTGTTGTTGTTGTTAGTAAAATGTTATTGTGTGATAGGTTTAATCTGCATATTTGAAATATTTGTATTCTTTTTGATAGGTAAAAATTGCATATATTTATGGTGTACAGATGTTTTGATACATATAATTTGTGCAATGGCTAAAAAGCTAATTAATATATGCATTACCTCACACATTTCTCATTTGTTTGTAGTAAGAAAACTTAAAATCTACTTTATTAGCAGGTTTCAAGTATATAAAATACTGTCATTAATCACCATAACCATGATGTACAATAGATCTCCTGAACTTACTCCTCCTGTCAAATGGAAATTTTGTATTCTTTGACCAACATCTCCCCAAGCTCCCAGCCCAGACTCTTATAAACATCATTTTACTCTCTGATTCTCTAAGTTCAATATTTTAGATTCCACATATAATGAGATCATGTAGTATTTGTTTTTCTGTGCCTGGCTTATTTCATTTAATATAATACCCTCAGATTTATTCATGTTGTCACAAATGACAGAATCTCCCTTTCTAAGGCTGAACTGTATTCCATTGTAAATATATACCGCATTTCCTTTATCCAGTTACCTACAGATGACAGACAGGTTGATTCAATGTAATAATCACTACAAGAAATGTTCCCATGAACAAGGGAGTGCAGATGTCTTTGACATGCTGATTTCATATCCTTTGTATATATACTCAGTTGTGCTTTGCGAATATCTCAATGGGGTAAGGGGCTCTGTTCATTAAGGTTTTATTTTTTTTTCTTCTTTGAAAAAAAAATGAAAATTTTATTAATTAGACAGTATGTGGGCATCCTGTTCCACATGGGAATGAAAAGATGCAATAGGTTCTCAAAGTATTGCACAGTCTGAAAAAAACACCAACAAAAAAAAAAGGGGAAGGGGTGGGAAAAAAAAAATCACATGATATTGGGAGCCATCTCACATTATGAATAATCTACCAAGAAACATTTAAAAAAGAAAACCCTTTGTTTCTACAGTAGCTTTGAGTTTATAGTTCTTGGAATGACTGTATTCCATTGAAGACATCTCAGTAACAGGAAGCTTCATTTTAGCAATCCCATGTGCAAATATTAATAAAAAAATATATAAAATAACGCAATTCATCTCTTGCCATCACCACCCCCCTTGGCAATCATGACATTTTTGAGAACTGTTTTGCTTGAAAGGGGGGTGTTAAGCTGTAAGTTTTGCCTGAAGCTCCATCTCTGCAGCCCGTTTGAGTGCAACATCCACTAGAAGCTGAAATCCACTAAAATCCTGGTTGAGGTCCGGTGGAGTAGGGGGAGGAGTGTTGAAAAGACCGCTCTGAGTATTTGTACTCGGTCCAGACTTACATGTGTCCTCCGGATACATGAGAGAGGTGTCTGTAAAGTTGCTGGCTGCCATTTGCTGTATATCTGTGGTTTGTCCCATACCAACCGACTGGCAGAGAGGGAAAGGCACATCTTTCAATGCAGTCACAGTGGTATGGCAGATCACTGATGGACGAGGCAAAATTGATCCCGGGGACGATGGCTTGGGAGACAGGGGCCTCCCTAGGGTTGGGTTTGGTCCAGCTGTGCAGGAATGAAACGGGCTCTCCTCTAGAGCTGGCATGAAGTTTTTGATACCTATTGCAGCCTCCATAGAGCCAGCTTCAGAAACCTTGGCCCCACGGCGGGAAATTGTGAACTGATTTGGATCTTTGCCATCCTTTCTCAGCATGTCAGGGAGGAGCCTGCGTCGGGCGTTGATGAACCAGTTACAGACCTGTAGTGTGGACAGGTGAGTTTGCTGGGACAGTAATGCTTTTTCTTGCTCTGAGGGATAGGCATTGTACCAGTGCTCATACAGCCAATCCCGCAGAATCTGAACAGACTCCTTGGGTAGGTTACCCCTTCTCCATCTCTTGCCTGAGCCAGCTGAAGAGGAAAGGTCCAGGGGTATGTCCATGCTGTCCTCATCCTCCGTCTCACTGTCAGATGCTGCAACAACACCTTTCTTGCTCTTCATTCTGTAACTCCCCTCCCAGCGGAAGGCAATGCTGGGGTCTCGAGGGGCCAGGAGCCGGGACACAGCGGGCAAGCCGTTGTCCTCCTTCACTGCAGACTCTCCAGCAACTTATAGGACGTGCTCCAGCCGTTATTGCTAAACAAGGCGCTTGGATCCCAGGCGCCTGCTCCTTGGGTGGAATTCAAGTGACACTTGGGCTTTCTCCTGCCGGGATCTTCTGGCAGCGGGGGCTCTCCCTCACCCAACTCGCTCCCCTCCCCACTCCGCTCCTTTGTTCCCGGCTCCTGCACGGCGCACATCGGCGCTGTCAGAGTCCATTAAGGTTTTATTTTTAATAGAATAAATATATTCCACAATGAATTGAAATCAAATTAGAAAACCCTAGGGTGCTGTAGCAACTAAACTTGGTAAATCCTTGGAAAAAAATACAGCCAATTTACTTAACAAATTCTGTCTTACAAAATATTTGTTAGGTTAAGTGTATGGCTGAGTGGTAGAGTGCTTGCCCAGCATACACAAGGCCCTTCCATGAGAGAAGCATGGTGCTCTGCAAGCAAAAAGACATGCCCTGTGAAAGATTTGAGGTGAAACAATTGAACATTTCAATATAGCAGGAAAAATAAAATTCTTAATAGGCACCTCATTACATTTTGGAGAGAATGTTTTCTCAATAAAAATATTATGGCCAGACAACCTGACAATGGACATAAAAATTGGTAACAAGATTCAAAGTTCAATGAACATGCTGCTATATAATTAAATAAATGGTTAAACGAGGGAGAACAGAAGTTCTTACTTATCATAAAATCTCATCTAACAAATACAGACAGAATCCTGGAATTAGAAAATTTCACAACTATCACAGAAATATTTGATCGGGCAATAATCATCAATCTAGTAAGTACAAATAAGCTGCGTAAGAATATACCCCATTTGATTCAAAAAAAAAAATAATAATAATAATAATAATAATAATCAAATGGTGACAGAATAAAAGATGAAAAGTAAAAAAATGAATTATAAGAAATAATAAACCACTGTTGTTTTAAACTAATAAATTTGGGGGTGGCTTATTTCATGAAGATAGGTAACTGGAACACTTGTGAAACAAGATTAATTAGCAACCTCTAAAGCTGGGAGGTCCTATGTGGTACCCTCTGGCCACATGTGGCTATTGAGCCATTGAAATACACAGCACTTATAAAATACACCCCATATTTTTAAGACTTAGAACAAGAGTATAAAATGCCTTATCAATAATTTCATCCATGTTGAACTGTTATTTGCAAATTATTGGGTTCAAGTATATTAATAAAATTAATTTTACTTGTTTCTTTTTACCGTTTTAAATAGAGCTACTAGAAAATTTTCAATTATTTATGTAACAGTGTCCACTTTGTGCTTTTAATGTAGCCCTTGCTGCTCAGCCACTGGCATTTCCTTCTCTTCCTCCTTCCCTGTTCCTCCCTAATCTCTCCCTTCCCTAATCTCAGGGGACATGGGAGTACTTTTCTTTCCCATTTTAGGCGGATTTATCTGTCCTTGAGTACACACTCACCATAGGAAGGAAGTAATCCAGACTTTGGGGATGGTACCAGAAGATCTCAGAAATGACTACTTCCTAAATTAACAATTACAACTCCAACAGAGACCACATGAAATGTAGCTTTTGAATGGCCTCTTTTAAAGCCCTCCTTGTTACCCTGATGGATAGAATTACAGCCTCTGAGACAGAGTCCCATGTTTCTCCTATGCTAGCAAAGCAATAAATCATTTTCCTTTTTCTCAAAACCGTGTCCTCATTATTGAATTGGCATCAGGAACAAGGCCCGAGCTTTCAGCAAGACTTACGTAGTTATAATATTTCTATTAGACACCCCTAGCCTAAAGGATATAATACTTAAATCTTTACTTAGAAGCAGAGCTGAAAGAATACAATTTTTTAATTTTGTGAATAAAATAATAATATTATTTATAGAGTTCTAAAAGCACTGCCTACATGAACTGGTTTAATCCTCACAACAATTCTATTTTACAATTGAGAGCCTTGAGCCACAGAAATGTGAAGAAACTCACTTGGGATCACACAGACTAGAGTGATGGGGCCAGGGCTCTGACAAGGCAGCCAGGCTCCTGGGTCTGAGCTATCACTGCTCTGCCCTGACTCTCAGTACAAGAAGCAGTTACACTCTCGTACATACCTTCATCTACTATCAAAATTCCACAGCCTGCATAGCCCATGTGAATGCTGCCAGCCCTCACTTCCTCGATCACAGGGGTTAAGAATCTCAGTCATCTTGAACTCCTTTCTCTCCTCAACTCTATGTTAATCAGTCATCAGAATCTGTGGATTCAGGAGCCTATGCTGCCCTTTCCAAAAGGTGGGAAAAGGGCACCGCTCTGGGAGCAGTAGACAGCAGGATCCTCAGCAGCTTGCAGGAAGAAGTCCTTCATGCCTGCAGGGGATCTGAATAGTCCAGCACAACGTCTACTAGTGTCCCACATTAGAATAAAACAGAAAAAATTAAACTGTAATGAGCTCCACCAATAAAACAGTGCCCTCCATTACTGAGAGGTACTTATTTTTCATTATTGTGGGATAAATCATCAGGGGTTGACTATTTTGTCAGCTTAGTGATTGGAGGAAACAATATGCTTCCTTTCTCCCCTGGTCTGACCGACAGTCTGCCTCCAACTGCCAGCAAATTTGCAAAGATAAGGAGGGATGGGGGGGGGGGCGGGAATTTATTTTTGTCCGAGTGACTTCAAGCAAGGAGAAAGTGGGAAAGGGATGGGAATCTACAATCCATTCAAATAAATCTCATAGGTTGATCAAGTGGAGGGCAAGCATTTTAGCAAATCAAAACAAGTTCGCCAGATTTGAAGGGCAAGAAATCCCATTTCCTATAACTTTTTTTTTTTAATGTGGTTTTTAGTTTAGTCAAACCTTGGAAGGGTTTGCTCATTAGAGAGAAGTTGACTGACTGCATGCTTAGGTCCCATGCAGACATGTGACCACATCTGTTCACAAAACCAAGAAAGGTACATGGCCAGAAAGAGAAGCTCCATCCAAGTCGGAGAAGATAATGCTAAGTGAAGTTAGCCAATCCCAAAAATAAAAATGCCGAATGTTTTCTCTGATATAAGGTGACTGACTCATAGTGGGGTAGGGAGGGGGAGCATGGAAGGAACAGATGAACTTGAGATAGGGCAGAGACGGGTGGGAGGGGAAGAGAGGGGGCAGGGGATTAGCAATGATTGTGGAATGTGATGGACATCATCATCCAAAGTACATGTATGAAGACATGAATTGGTGTGAACATACTTTACATACAAACAGAGATATGAAAAATTGTGCTCTAGACGTGTAATAAGAATTGTAATGCATTCCGTTGTCATGTATTTAAAAAATAAAATCAATTAAAAAAAGAGAGAGAGAGAGAGAAGCTCCATCCAAAAACTAGAGTGTCTCACCCACCTCTCATTCTTGCTGGATCCCAGGAGTAGCTCAGACAATGCAAAGAGAAATCGGACTGATGGAATAGTTACTGGTTTCCTGTATTCTTATTTAAAGGTCAACTTTAAATAATAATTTTTTTTAACTTTCTGTCTTCCCTTTAAATTTACAAACACAGCTTGGAATTTCCTAGGTGTTTATTGAGTCCGAATTAATATCTGAAAGTCCTAACATTTTAGCAATAATTTATGCCACCAAAACATAAAAACTAGGAGTACTGGGGGTTGGGGCAGTGTTAGGTAAGGAATAATAATCTCTTTCTCTGCTGTTGCTAGGTTGAGAATTAAATGAATAGTACTTGCAAACTGTTGTGAATATTTTTTCCCTTTTGGCAAGGCTCCACTGAGACATGGGAACTAGTCACCATCTCTTAAAAGGGGGCAGGGAAGTCTTTGAAATCACTAACCAAAGATACAATTTACTTACAGTTCTTCTTAGTGTTATTCTGGATAACTCTGTAAAACTGACTATTTTTGTGTATGACCAGAGATAGTCAATCTGAAAACCCTCTCAGATGGTTTCTCCTTCCCCACGTCACCTAAGCAACTCAAAAGAGACCTTGTTTTAAGACTTCACGCTTGGCACAGCCTGAGAACCGGCCATTTGATTTACAAATAGAGTCAAAGCTATTTTTAAGTTGTATAATAAGCATACACAAAAACTAACCTTCCCTTAACTTTTTAAACACACTCTATAATACCATATGTTGCCTCTTCTGACATCTGTCCTGAAGAATCATTGAAGGCAGAGTGTGTAATTGGAAATCCATCTAGGTCCAGAAATACTCTACCAAAAAAAAATGGATTTTCCACTATATATAGTCTCACTTAGTGTTTACCTCTTAATTCTCATTGGTTCCTCTTGCTTTTTAGTCATAAGCAGTAACAAATTTTTTCTTAGTTGAAATTTTTGACCCCTTTATCAACATATTAAATTTTATCTCACTAGACAGCATATTCTTTGATCTACAAATGGATAGAATGAGAAGGAAGGATTTCCACCTCAAATCTGTGGAAGACAAATCTTAAAATACAATGTTTCTACTTTATAGTTTATTGTCCCTTAGAGGTTAAATAATCATCCAGTGAATTGAATTTATATAGAAATTACAAGTCATCAAAACAGAACAAAATCTCCTATGGTCTCTTAGATCCTCCTTTTGGTGTTTGTTTCTTTGATTGTTCTCGCCTGCCTCCCCTTGCTTACAAATACCTCAATAAATAAGAGTTTCATACATAATGTTTTATTCCATTTAGACAGTTCAGTGAAATCAGATCAAACAAAAAAAACCACTTGGGGCTGGGGATGTGGCTTGGGCAGTAGCACGCTCGCCTGGCATGCGTGCAGCCCGGGTTCGATCCTCAGCACCACATACAAACAAAGATGTTGTGTCCGCCAAAAACTAAAAAAAAAAAAAAAACACTAAACATAAACAAAATACACAGTATATATTAAATGTTAGGTTAGTTACAAATGAAAAACTAAGAGGCAAATGTCTTGGCTGCTAAATGGCAAGGTTGGCAAGCTATATCCTACAGAGTAAATATGGCCCACAACTATTTTTTTATATAGTCCATGAACTAGACCTGGTTTTTTCATTTTTAAACAGATGGGGAAAAATCAAAAGAAGAATAATATTTCATGATAATTGAAAATTATACACACTCCCAATTTCAGCATCCATAAGTAAAGTTCTGTTGGTACACAGCCACACTCACTTGTTCATGAAGAGTCTATAGCTGCTTTCAAGCTAAAAGGCAGCACTAAGTAGCTGCAATAAAGACCAAGAGGTTGTAGCACAACCTACAGTATTTACCCTTTACAGAAAAAGGTTGTTACCCGATGTGGTATGGTGCACTTTTTAGAGACACCACCTCCTTTCTCAAGGAATAAGATCGAAGGCCTAACATCAGCCATGAACAGAGAGCCATGGACTCGTGCCACAAGCTTGTGCTCCCTCCAAAGGGAAGCATTAGTATTAATATCCAATACTAAGAAATGCCAACTAACTGACATTCACTGTTTACTACATGCCAGGCACTGTAATAAACATTCTAAGCAATGCACTAAAAAAAGAAAAAGGAAATGAGTCGAATTAATTTTAATTACATATTGTATTTAACCCAATATGTCTGAAATATTATCATCAAACATAATCGATACAAAAAATTGTGAGTATTGTTAAAATTTTGTTACCGAGTATTCAAAACCCAATTTGTTTTATATTCATAGCTCATCTCAATTCATATAAGCCACAGTTCAAGTACTTAAAAACCACCTAACTAG